TGATAACTTTTAAAATATATTTTAGGTATAACAACTCTCATAAAAGCACCCCAGAAAAGCTCTTGGCTTATTTAACTTTATAAAAATCATTGACTAGAAGTAGATAACAATTTGGAAACTGATGAGTCAGTGGAGTGATAATTATTATACATCTTTTGTTTTGAAATTTGATTTTGTATAAAAATAATTCATAGGAATTATCTTATTCTGTTCAATAAAAAATATAATATTAATGGATAACCTTTAAAGTAACTGCAAATTAAAATATGAAAAGCTCTACTTAGAGAAACTTAATTTTCCTAAGACATCGTCTACCTGTCCTATCAAAATACCCTACCTGGACAAGAGTTACATATAAAATTTTCTGTAACAACCAGGTAGTATTCTACTGAATCAGCATCTCTTTGGCTTTCAAGGTAGTAATTAATACAACTGAGAAAATTCTTGATATGATGAAATAAAAATCCCCTGTTCTTATTTTTCTTATATACATCAACCATCCACCCCACCTACCCACTTCCACCCTTGGGTAAACAAATACTTTTCACCAATTGCTTTCCAATTAATATTTATAGTACACATTTCAAAAACATAATATAGAAAAAGGGAAAAAATTATCACATACCTGTCCATCCAAGTCAAATGCTAAGCAAGCTACACCATGGGTATGAACATCTTTTAGAATTGATATGGTCTGCACAGTATATGAATCCCAAACACAGATATAAGGCTCTTTCCCAACTTGTCCTGTTGCTACCAATACTCGTTCAGGATGTAACGCAAGGCTGCAAAATAAATAAATAAATAAACAAATAAGACTTAAAAATTGTTTATAGAGTTTTTATAGCATTTGGCATATATAGCATTTATATATGCCAATGTAAATGTTAGACTTTATCAATTTTAAATAATTTGGATTTAAAATGAGACTGAGTCAGGAGGATCACTTGAGTCCAAAAGTTTAAGTTCAGCCTGGGAAACACAGAGAGACCCCCGTTTCAAAAAAGAATTTTTTTAAAGAGCATAATATAAAATAAAATAAATAAACAAAAATAAACATAACTATGAAGTAAGAATCAAACAGGGAAAAGGAAAACCAGATAAAAAATTCTCTATCCAGCTTCCCAAATTCCTCCCTGATCCTATTCCCAAACAAAATCTTATTTTTGTCCATTAATTGAAGTATCTATACAAAATTCTAGCACACCAAATAAATAAGAAAAATGTCTCAGTACACACTAGAAGCATCCTATGAGTTCCTGCAATTATGAAACGTATTTAAATACAGAGCAATTAAACTTAAAAGATTCTAGTATGGAGTTCCTGATGATCTCAGTGTTTATTATATAAGAACTAACCATTACAATGCTACAAAGTAAACTCACAAATTTTATAGAAGATACAGGGCTTAATGGAGTAAATGCTGATCAAATCACACATTAAGCCATTAGAAGTTCGGATCTACGACAGCAATAAGAGAACAAAACTCAAGAAAAATAAAATAGGACTTGAGATATGTCTAGACATTGAGAGATTACTAAAAAGCCTTGGAAAAACCAGTAAACCCACGCCCTAACATTTTTGAAAAAATGACTCTCTTTATAATGACATGCCAAAAGTCAAAGGTAAACTGAAGCATTTTATTTTGTACCAGCATATAACTGACAAAATCAGGTTAAAAAAACTTTATTCTTAGTTCATTCTATAAATAAAAGAGTTGTAACT